AGGGGAAGATACAATATGTTAGTAGTTTGATAATAAGTAAGTTTCAAATGTCTGATTATAGCCTCAAAAATGATGAGGGATTAGAAATTGAAAGAAATAAAATTTTGAAAACTTCCTCATCAGTGATCCTGATAATTAGACAAACCTGTCCAAATTTTGGTAAGTTCTAATAGAATTAATAATTGCACATATTTAGCAAATTAGAAGATATGCACTTAAAGTCACATAGTAAATGAGAGACAACAAAGGAAGTGGTGAAGAAACACTTTTACATGTTTGCAAATGTTGTTATATGATGATGAAGGCAAGAACAGGCACTACAGGTCTGACAGGAAGTGTAAGTGAATTGAACTGTCCTTTCAAATCATTGTGAAACTCTTCAACGTACAGTACAGTACAGAGAAAAACATAAAAAGATCAAGAATATAGTTATTATAACTCAGTGTCAGATAATTGTTCATTAGAGGTTGCGGAGAGAAGAGTTTGTAGCAAAATGTATCAGAGCAACATTTCATTAACTGAAAATTGACGTTTGTCCTTTGTTCATCCCCTTATGTATTTGTGCAATGAGATTATTATTTGAAAAATTCTTTCTTTTCATTTGGTAATATGTCCTTATGGCTCCTTTGAATGAGGAGGAAGAGTTAGCTGCTCTAAGTTGGCTTTCCCAGGAGGTGTCTGGGTCCATCTGCTCTGGCAGGGGGAACTCGGAGCCACACCTGTGAAGGAGGAAGGGGACAGGGGTTCAGCAGAGGGGAAAAAATCCGAGGCTGGTCTGGCTTTCACAGGTGCCCTGATTGTTGGAGGCGGCTGCCCAGGGCCTGTGCTCAGCCTCGCGGAGTTTCTGGGGAGACCCCGAGACAGGCTGGATCCAGCTGCAGGCAGCAGTCCTGGCTGGAGGGGTGACCAGACATGGGGACAGAGCAGACGGATGGAGGGAAGAGCGCAGCAGAGCTTTCCAGGCAGACCCGCGAGAAAGACAGTTACCAGGGATCAATCCAGAAGGACGGAAGGCTGGATGAGGCGACAACCACCAAGCCCTCATAGAAGCCAGAAAGAATGTTGGTGCCTGTGAAAGGATTTGCCGATGCCTGGGGAAACGAACGCTAAAGCAGCAGACAGGAAGCAAGGAGTCAACTGTATTTCTCAACAAGACTGCAGCCAGACGCACGAATGGACACCATGGAACACTTCGGGGGAGGGGACAACACAAGGGGACCAGGCGGAAGTGTGTTTATGAGACACTGCATCTCTACGACCCATGCTCCCTCGGCAGAGAAAAATGCTGGCATACTCCCTTGTGGGAGGGGAACCCTATTTTTTGGAAAGGGTTGGAAAAAACTGTTGGACCAGGTGACAGACATGAGCAGGGCTTCCCACGTTAAAAAGAAAAACAAGAGGCAAACAAAGAAAAAAAAAGCCACCTGGAGAAGACAGAACACACACTGGGAGGAAATGAACCACGACAAAGCAAAAGCGCCGTGAGAACCTCAGCGACACAAGCGCACACGGCAACTGCGACGGGGGAACAGCCACCTCGGAAAACATTCAGAGTGCATGTAAAAGAGCTCTTGGAAACCACAGTGTCATCACTTTTAAAAGGAGGCTACCTCAATAAGATTATTATGTGGTGTTAGTTAGTCGCCCAGTCATATCCAGCTCTTTGCAGCCTCATGGACTGTGGCCCGCCAGGCTCCTCTGTCCATGGGATTCTCCAGGCAAGAACACTGCAGTGGCTTGCCATTTCCTCCTCCAGGGGATCTTCCCGACCCAGGGATCAAACCTGAGTCCCCTGTATTTCCTGCATTGGCAGGCGGATTCTTTACCTCTGAGCCACTGGGGAAAAATTATGGGAGGAATGATGAAATAAATCTGAAAGATAAGAATTTCTAGACCGGAATTCTACGATCAGCCAAATGATCAATTAAATGTGAGATAAGCATTTTAGGCATACAGCTTCTCAGAAATTTACTCCAGAATTTGTTCTTATGAAAATACTAGATGCCTGGTCCACCAAAATGAGCTAAGAGGAATATGGAAAAAGAAAGAGGGGCTGCCAGCACTGCCAAGAGGGTAGTTCATTGGAGTTTTCAGGCTGGAATCTGTGCATTAGACATAAAAGCAGCCAGCCCAGATGGTTAAAGACTGCAGGAGATAGTTTAGGAAAATAAAGCTGATAGGAAAGACTTGGCAAAGTACTGGATGTTGAATTAGTAAGTACGTAGAAAACTCTAAGATAATCGTTATCTCTAGGAAAAACTGGAATAAGAACAGAAAATGAAAGTTCACTGCACATCTGAGTTGAGACTTATTCTTGCAGCATCCTAATTAAGGAACATGTCTGTTAAACTTGCTACACCATAGACGAATGTGGGTTACTTTTGCCTGGAGAAGGATCAGAATGAATGTTTTATCCTCACGTGTCCTGGGGAGGGGGAGATCTATAGATAGTGATAAAAAAAAAAGCAAAATCAATAAAAGTGTAAGGCAGGTTATTTCCAGAAATGGAGCTAGTATAGAAAGAATGAAAAGAAGGGCAATATTTGCCTCTGAGGAGGAAGAATTTGAGATGGGAGAGTGGATGAATTTTTTAATAAAGTATCTTGTAGAAGTATTTGATGACTAATATGAATGCATAACTTTGATCTTAACAAATGGAAAAGGGAAAGAGTATTAATTTTTTAGTCAAGAAGAATACATGTATTGACCTGAATGAATTACCTTATTTTTTTCTGAAATGACTTCAGGTATAATCAGCAAGCTGGTTCTGAGCAACTTGGGAAGAACTTGTTATTTGGATGAAATTGTTAAACGTATTCAGTATTCTGACTGTTAACATTCCAAAATGTTGATCTAAATGCCCTTTAGATTTCTATTGTCATACTCTTAACTACAAACTCTCTTCTTTGAATAATATAATTTTGAAAAACATATGCTTCAATAAATGACTAGTCTACCAATGAGGTATCTTATTTGAAAAAAGAAAATATCATACAATAAAAATGTCGGAGCTGCAGACCTCATTAATTCAGTTTTTTTTCCATATTCTACCTAGGCGAAGGTGAAGTTTACCTTTGAATGCCTAAGAAGAAATGACTATTGTAAGCATCATTATAAGGATACCTTGGTCATTTTTTTAAGAAATGAAGATTGCATTGTATAATATATTATTTAATAGACTCTTTTACTGAGTAATATATATTGAGTTTATTCATGTAACAAATCTCATTAAGTATCTATTTTATTCAGACATTCTGCAACATATTGGGAATGTGAGGTTGATACTATATAGTTTTTGCTTGTACAGTGACATATAAGTAAGGAAATTGACATGAAAATGAGCAACTGTGATTAAGAGAAAAAATATAATTGCTCTATTGAAGTAGAAATTAAAGTTATGAATTGATGGAGAAAATTCCAGAAAGCAAGCTTGGGCTGTGTGGTACAGATTTGGGTGAAAGTGTCACATGTTCTGAGAACTGCCAGTAGTTCAGGATGTCTGGAGCCCTGAGCAGTGAGTCTGAAAGAGAAGATACGAGACTCGATTTCATGAATTAAGTAGAGTCAATGAGACATTATTGTGTATGCTAGTCCCTTAGTCGTGTCCAACTCTTTTTGACCCCACGGACTGTAGCCTACCAGGCTCCTCTGTCCGTGGGATTCTCCAGGCAAGAACACGGGAGCGCGTAGCCATTCCCTTCGCCAAGGGGACCTTCCTGACCCAGGGATGGAACCCGGGTCTCCTGCTTTTGCAGGTGGATTCTTTACTATCTGAGCCACCGGGGAAGCCTGAGACATTATTAACAATAATGATTACAATTCAGAGTAGCTTGAAATAAATAATTTCAAGTTATTTCTCTGTGCTATGTCCTGAGTCAAGCACTTTACATACACAATCATATTTAATCCTTACAGCTGCTCTTTCATCATTTTTAAGTTTTTCAAGCTTGAGAGTAACAATAAAATTTGTGTAGAAACACCATGCTCTCATGAGAAAATGTTTCAGTCAAGTAAAAAAAAAAGAGATACAAAATGGTTTATGTAACCTCATAAAAATATTATATATGATGTAACAAGAAAAGAGATTGGAAAGGTTATAGATGGCCAGTTGTTTTATTTTTTTCACCCCTCAAAAGTTTCCAAAATATCCATTTGTCAATTTAAAAGTAAGAGCAGTGTGTAATCTTAGAGGAAGAAGGGGAAAGAGAAGAGAGATTGAGATTCTGTGACTAAGGAAGGAAAAAAAAGGAGAGAAAATAAGAGAGTGAGAGATGAGTTACATCCAGAATTACTGAAAAGCAATGCTGGAGGATTGGAAAGGGAGAAGCATGGGGCAGAGGTCCAAGCGGAAGACAATAAAGGCTTCAGTTTAAGCAGCCATCAATAGGATAATAGCAAATGGAAGAATAAGAGACGTATTTGGAAAAGGGTCACCCACTTGGTGTGTAGATTGTTAAGCCGATTCACCAAGAAAGGGAGATGTGAACCATGGTGAGGTTCCGGAAAGGAAGTGATTATTGACATGGTCCCTGTAGCTCTGGTATTACAATTGGGTGGTTGTTTCCTAAATGAAATATCCTAAATATGCTAAAGTATAACTAGGTGGTGTCACTTTATGCATTGTGTTAATTAATCACAGTCCTATTAAATTAAAAAAAAAAAAAAGGTGGCTGAATGTCTTTGGTGTCACCACATGGATCCAGAACGTGGGATTCTGATTTGGACGTAATGAAATCTTTCATCCCCGAATACCCATCACAAGCCAGAACTTTCAGGGGGTGACCACCAAGAGTCCAAAAAAGAACAGCGAGGAGCTTGAAAGTGCTGGTTTGAGAGCACGGTGGGCCAGTGACCCAGACTGTAGTGCCGTGACTTTCCTCAACGCTCGCTATGACGATGCGGTGGGTCAGGCAGTAGGTCATCCGCTGCCCTCCGCTCTGAGCGCCCTCCTGTCCACCTTCCCTCCGGCTAACCCTGCACTTTCTTCATCCCCCACCCAGGGCTCTACGAAACCTTTCTAACCAATGATGAACCAGAATGCTGTGACGTCAGGAGAGAAGTGAAACCCAAGAGCCCCTCCAAGGGGGCGGTGGACAGAGGCGGCGCCTGCCCCCGGACGTCGCTCTCGGCCTCGTCGGCGCCCAGGCTGGGCCCCAGCAGACTTAGACTGTGCGTCCTCGTGCTGATGCTTCTCCACACGGTCCTCACGGCCTCGGCGGCGCACAACGCCACGGCCCTGGGCGTCGGGGGCGTCCACGCGCTGGACGAACGCTCGGCCAGCGAGGAGTAGGGACTCTGCACCCTGGAGCATCCTCGCCACCCCAGCCGCCCGGCCGCGCATCCCTGCCTGGGTACCGGACCTGCGCACGCGCATCCCCGCCTGGGTACTGGACCTGTGCGCGCATCCTTGGCGCAGGGCCTGGATGGCCTGAATCCAAACCAGGAGACATACACACCACACACACACACACACACACACACACACACACCACACACACACACCACACACACACAGCTTTTTACGGACTAAAAAGCTGGAAAGTGACTTCGATTTCTCACACCATTTTATACACTGTGTTTTAATGTTTGGAGGTTTTCTTTGCTTTCCTTTGGACTTGAGTTTATCTGTTTGTTTTGTTTTTGCACTTGTTAATACAGGCTTTATTTGGGGGGATGGTTTCTCAGAGGTAAACTAAGTCTTTTCACTGTCTCTCTCTCTCTCTCTCTATATATATATATATTTCTAGTCACTGTGTGTGTTCATCAGATAGTTCTGTTTCCTGTCCTGTCTGTTTCTATTAGCGGAATGACAGCTATGATCTTGCGGTATAGCAAAAACAAAACAAAACAAAAAAAACAAAAAAACTACAACACACACACAAACACACAAAAAAATCATAAAAAGACAAAAAAAAGACAAAAAAAAAAAGAAAACAAGAAAAAAATAAAAAGCTCCCTAACTCTCCCTCCTGCCTAAGGAACCCACGCCCCCCACCCCACCCCGGCCCCCAGCCCGCCCGCCGGGGGACTCCCTCCAGCAGACGCCATCCGCTTGCTTCAGTCCTGTCGCTGCCGCGGTGGGCGCAGCGCCTGCTCCGCTGGGCCACTGAGCCGCTGTTGCAGAAAGGGGGGCCCCCTTCTAGCTGAACAAACAAGTGCTCTCCTTAACAGGTGGCATCAGACAGTTAACACATCTTTATGTTGAAAATAAAAAAGCAAAGAAAATTACCTTGAACTCCATTGGGTTCATCCCAAAGGCCCCGGACCTTCCTCGCTGGTCAGGTGGCTGGAGGCAGCTGCCGAGGGTAGGGGGTGTGAGGAGGTGGGGACACCCCCTGCCCCCCAAAGCCTGCAGGCAGATGGGCTTTCATTAGGATTTCAGTTCTGTTGTGGGAATACTCGAGCACGTGCCGCCCATGGTCAGGAGGACAGGATTCCGAGGACTCAAATCTGGACTTCTCTTTCCTCCATTTCTGTTGCGGGGGAGGTGGCAGACGTGCGTAGACACCTGCTGCATACAGAATCTAGACCGTTTCACCCTGGTATTGCCCCACACAGGGTTTTTAATTCCTCCAGGTATAAAGTGTATGCAATTCAGCATTATGGAAAAGACCTTCTTTTCAAAAAATAGGGTAGCCGTTTTCATGCAAGTGCAGAATCGTTGTCACCCTCGCCTGCTCTAGCTAGCTGAAGACGAGAGGAGAACTCGGATCGCTCTGTCTGTATTTTTCCTTTCTGTGGGAACATTTCACCCGCTGAGTGTCTATGAATTTGCTTTCTTAAAAACAAACAAACAAGGCTTTTATGAGTTTACAGTAGAATCAGTGAAAGGAAGAGTTAATAAGGGCTGTTTTTAAAACAAACAAAACAAATAATTTTAAAAAATAACCATTACACATTCCTTAACTATTCTCTAACTACACTCGGGAACTGCGATTCAGGGATGACTGCGGTACAGCTGGGAGATGAAGGTAAACCGTGGAACAGGTCCTCTTAGCGAACAAAATTTAGTTCTTAACTTTCTAGCTATGAAATTCCCCCAGACATTTGTTTTTGTTGAAACAAAACTTTAATCTCTGCATCATACCTAACTCTGCGACACGCGTTACAGTATGCATATTTTGTTTTGAATAAAAAAACAAAAACCTGTTTTGTTCCAGTCTGTTAAGAATATTCAAAATAATAAAGGTATTGCTTAATAAAATTGCTAGAATTGTTTAGCAGTACATGCACAAATATTTTATTAGATTCTTTGTTTTAATAGTGTTTTGTTGAGACTGGAAATCCTAAAGCGGTCTGCGCAAATACAAAAAAAAAAAAAAAACCCAAAATGCAAAATTCTCCAGTTTTCGTTCCTTTTTTGAAAATTGTTTTTTATGCAAATGCAAACACACATTCACATGTGCACACACACAGGCAGTATTTGTAGCATATGGAAACGATGGTGCTATTTCTGGGGACAGTGGGTGGGGAGTGGCTGGGGGCCACAGTAACTGCGTTGCATTCCGTGACACTTTGAGAAGAGAGTTTTGGTAACACCTCACTGGTGGTGGATTACAGGCTTCAGTGGGGCTGAGGGCGCGATGAGAAGGGGTAGGGAGCCGTGACTACCCGAGGGGGAGGGAGGGATGAGGACTCCGGAGGAGGAACCTAGCAGCTGAACTCCTTTCCCACTGACCTCTTCATGACTTTAAGATAAATGACCAGAGCAAAGTGTGTCCTGACCTTCTTCTCCCTCCGCCCAGCAAATACCGCCCCGCTGCTGTCCCTTCCTTCAGTGTTCCTCCGGCCTCTTCTGTTCTTGCCAGAGGCGTTTCCACTCTTTCCGGAAGATGACGCAACAACCCAGATGCAAGCTGCACCCACTCTTCCTGGGATGCCAAGAACTTAACGCTTCTAGACCCTGTGCCAAACGCTGACACACAGCATCCCTTGACAACAGGGTTTCATTTTCTGTTCGTACTAATCTCTTTGTGCGCGTAATTGAGGTTCTCGTCCAGTAGAAGGGGACTGGAAGGTTCCACTTGCCCCTGTTTTAGCTTTGGTTTGGGTAAGTGGCGGCGCAAAGAAGGAAACCGAAACCACCACTACTCTCCGTGAGAGGTAAATCCTCCGAAAGGCAAGTTCAGACGCTGGGAGAAAGAACGCAGTGTCTGAGTATGCACTTCTCGTCTAGGTGACGAGGGGAGGGCGGGGCCGGGAAGGGAAAGTCTAGTGAGCCTGCACTGGAATGGTCTGTAATTCTGGTTCAGTCTTTGCTTGCCGTGTACTCCATGGTGAGAGGGCTCTCTGTACCCAGTGTTCGTGATGGTAAATGTGTAATCACTTCCCTGTGGCCTTTCCACTGACTCGGTGAGCTAAAGCAGCTTTTCCTGTGATCACCTAATGGATTCAAGTAGATCCTGACTTGTTGACAAAATTAAGGAACAGTCATTGAGAATGCCGTAGACAGAGGAGCCCGGCGGACTGCAGTCCATGGTTTTGCAAAGAGTCAGACACAACTGAGCACATAAACTCATTGAGAATGCAGATCTCGCTACATCCAAGGATCATTAGCAGTGGTTCTCCTACTCGATAACATGCTTGATGTTCCGCACAGAAAAAATTCAGACCCTACACGTTTATCATCATCTTATTCTGTTTTCCTCATGCTGAGTGTCCACTGAATGGTAGATAATGTGTTACAATACTGTTGTTGTTGTTCAGTCATTAAGTCGTGTCCAACTGTTTGTGATCTCATGGACTGCAGCGCGCCAGGCTTCCCTGTCCTTCACCATCTCCTGGAGTTTGTTCAAACTCATGTCCATTGTGTAGATGATGTCATTCAAACATCTCGTCCTCTGTCGCCCCCTTCTCCTCTGGCCTTCAATCTTTCCCAGCACTGAGGTCTTCTCCAGTCAATCCCAAGTCAGCTCTTTGAATCAGGTGGCCAAAGTTATTGGAGCTTCAGCTTCAGTCCTTCCAATGAATATTTAGGGTTGATTTCCTTTATTATTGGTTGGTTCTGATCTCCTGGCAGTCCAAGGGACTCTCAAGAGTCTTGTCCAACACCACAGTTTGAAAGCATCAGTTCTTTGGTGCTCAGCCTTCTTTATGGTCCAACTCTCCCATCTGTACATGACTGCTGGAAAAACCACAGCTTTGACTATATTGACCTCTGTCGACACAGATGTCTCTGCTTTTTAACATGCTGTCTAGGTTTGTCAAAGCTTTTCTTCCAAGGAGCAAGCATCTTGTAATTTATGGCTGCAGTCACCATCTGTAGTGATTTTGGAGCCCAAGAAAATAAAATCTATCACTGTTTCCAGTTTTCCCACATCTATTTGCCATGAAGTGATGGGACCAGATGTCATGACCTTAGTTTTTTGAATGTAGAAGCTTAAGCCATCTTTTAAAACAATTATTTCTGAGAACAAGTTGAAAATCAAGAAAATAACAATTTTTCCACAAATGTATTGAAACAGACTTCTCCATATTTATTATTGCCTTTTTTCCCCTACAATAGAGGAATCCCAGTTTGAAGAATATGTTGATACTGCAAAACCAAATGTCAGATAACATATAAGTGGAGTTCTATATTGTTCCTGTTGCGTTGACGTTTGGTGATACATTATGTGGGCTTTTCTTTCATTAAAAAGATAATATTGTTCTCCTATCCTGCAAAGAGTAAGCCACAGTTGTTCTTTTAAATGACAGCATTACTAGAAAAAAGGAATCTAGCTCCTTATCAGTGAATTGGAACCATCAATTATTAGAGCCTGTAGTCACTGAAGGGGCCTCCCCGCTGGCTCTGTGGTAAATAATCTGCCTGCAAAGCAGGAGACAATCCCCGAAAAGCAGGAGGGCTCGATCCCTGGGTTGGGAAGATCCCCTGGAGGAGGGCTTGGCAACCCACTCCAGCACTCTTGCCTGGAGAATCCCATGGACAGAGGAGCCCGGCAGGCTCCAGTCCGTGTGGTCGCAGAGAGTCGGACGTGAGTGAAGTGACTGAGCACACACAAACACAGTCATTAAAATAAAAGAAGGCGGCAAGGAAAATAGCAGGCAGGCCGGCAGGCAGGCAGGTAAAAATGGATGCTGCATGAGTGAAAAAACCCCTCCCTTTATCAGGGAAAAAGAAAAAGATGTAGTGGGTGTCAGATCCACATGCCAAAGCTGAACTGGCAAATGACATTTGGCATCTGGACAACATTAAAATACTGACCAGTCTCGGGCATTGTTTTAGTCCTTTCCTGGTAATACCCTAATTTACAGTGTTGTTGCTACAGGAAGTATACAACCTGCAAAGAA